TCTGCATCCATTGCATTACATGATCTTGATTTGTGAACTTCAGCAATAGTTTTTAAAAATAATAGTAAAAATGGGGACAGGATATTTGACAAGTTTCCAAGTTATGTTACTTTCAGTATGAGAACATGTCATTTATGCAAAGAAAAATGACTGAATTTAGCATCCTGAGAATCTTAGTATTCACTTGTTAAACAACAAACAAAAGAAGCAATTCTCCAGTTCTCGTGGCTGTACAGTGAAAATCTGTGGCTGCTGTAATTTCAGATGCCTAAAGTACCATTTTAGGTACTACTGTTTCTTCTAAGACAAAATTATGTACAATGATGAATATTCACTGTGTGTAATTTAGATTAAAACCTATAAAATCTTAGTTGAAAGTAAACTTGTTGATCATACCGGAATTTCTTATGGGGAAATTATATTATGCCATAAAACCAGTTGTAATATTCAGTTTGTTACAGACCAGATATCTTTATTATTATTTTATAGGGCTCTGTGAATATTCTATTAGGAAATTTCATTAGAAAGCAATGCAGCTGAATCCCTGAATCAAATTAATATATTATTTTGGAAAACTGATTCAAGCCATCAAATTAAACCAGATGTGTCTGAATTGTTGAGATATTTGGATACTTGTGGATCCTGCATTATTTCAGGATAGGTCTTTGCAAAATTCAGAAGTCTGAATTAAATCCTATGAATTTGCTCAGTCACACTGAACATTCAGATTGAATTTTACCTGGTTTGCAAAGGGCTACAGTTTTATTCAAGTACAGAGCAAACCTGCCTTTATTTCAATCACTGGGGTGTCAGGGTGTTAGTATTGTAATAAATGCTACTAATTAAAATGGGTGATTTACTTCAAGACAGGAATATTGGTTTGCATTGTTAACTGTGTAATTTCCTGTTTCTATCAAAACATGCAACATTCAAAGGGTATGTTTTATTTGATAGACTATACCCCAAGATCACCCTTTCCTAGGCTAGTATCCTCCATATGTTTTGGAACTACAGTTCCCAAAACTCTCTGGCAGCATGTCCATTGGCTGAATTCAGGGAGTCTCAAAATTAGAATAAGGAAACCTCCCCTGGATGTTCAACATTGTACTCGGATGGGCTTCCTCCAAATCTTTATTTTTTAAAATATTTTAATTAGAATTTTACAAAAACAATACAAGTATTAAAATGAAAAGAAAAAGAAGAAAAAGAAAAAAGATGGGAAATAAGAAAAGAAGTGAAAAAAGAAACATAGAATTTTGACTTCCATCCTTCTTTCTATTGAGTAATTGCCATCTTACACTTCCCCCTCCTTCTTTAACCCTTTCTAATCTCCAAATCTGTAAGTCCTCAGTTCAGTCTTCTTTTCTTTCATCAAAAAGTCCATGTAAGGCTTCCAGTCTTTTAAAAAAGTTTGTATCATTTTCTCCCTGACCAAACTGGTCAGCTTTGCCATTTCCATGAACTCTGCCAATTTTATAATCCAATCCTCTACTGTGGGTATTTCATTATTCTTCCATCTTTGTGCTTACAATAACCTTGCCACAGTTACCATATGCAATATTAGTTTCCCATATTTCTTTTCTAGTTCAGCATCCATAAAACCCAATAAAATAATTCTGGTTTCATCATATTAATATGCAGTATCTTTTGTATAATTGTATGAATTTGCACCCAAAATTTCTTTGCTTTTTCACAAGTCCACCATGCATTGTAAAAATCCCCCTCTTCTTTTTCACACTTCCAGCACTGATTTGATATTCCTTTGTACATTCTTGACAGTTTAGCCAGTGTCATATACCATTGGTATATCATTTTATAAAATTTCTCTCTTAAATTATGACAAATGTAAATTTAACACCAGTTTCCCACATTTTATCCCATATATGCATATTTATATTATAACCAAAGTTTGCAGCCCATTTCACCATACAGTCATTAACCTGTTCATCCTCTGTTAATTACAATTTGTACATTTTAGCTATTATATGATCATAATTTATACATAACCATTTCAAATTCAGTTTTCTTCTTCTTGGTTCCAATTGTCCTTTTGTCCATATTAAACCTCTCTTTCATCTGATTATAAGGAAAGCCATTGAAAAGAATGTCCTTCTGTTGCTGGTTGTTCTCTTGTCTTCATCTTCTTCCAAATTATTTTGATATCCAAGGACTCCAATGTGTTTGTGTAATTTATTGCTCAAGTAGATTCGTGACGTCTGCATTTGTTCAGATCGTTCTGCATGATCTCCAATAGATAGGAGCAGCACTTCCCAGTCTCTTGCTTTCTGGACTACAGATCCTTACTAGCTGGGAGATGAAGGAAGATGTAAGCCTATATATCTGAAGCATGTCAGGTCAGGGAAGTCTGGACAGGGGACCAAACAGATACCTAATCTTTTTTTTTTTTTTAATTAAGGAGAAGTAGGGGGGAAACTGAGCAGTCTCATCTGACTACAAATATATATTTCATTTGCATGTCTAAATTTTTCTTTTTCATGTAGTCTCTTATTTGGGGAGGAATGAATTGAAGGAGGAATGAATTTGAAGGAGTTGAGGAAAGACCTTTGGGAGATCTTAAATAGGATATTAATGTGGGGTGGTGAAATACTCTAAAGGCACAGAAGTTTGGTTCAAGATTCAAGTATCAATGCATTTGATTTTAGAGCAGAGTACTGCCTTGATGGATCAGATTTAATGGTCATCTCACCCAGTATCTTTAGCAACAGCAGCCAATTGGATGCTTCTGGGAACTCAAAAGGTTGGAATGAAGACTACAGTACTCCCTGAGGTATACTGCTCTAAGAGGTATATTGTCTCTAATCCTGGAGGCTCTATTATAACAGATAGGCTTTGTACATTTGTTTAGACCTTTTTTGAAGCCGTCAAAACTCTATCATCACTATAAGTTGGACAATGAATGGTGAACATTTATGAAGACATAATCAAGGGCATGTAAAGAGTCTTATTGGCCAGTCCATATGCATTCATTACTTCTAATCTTTCTGCAAACACAGAAAGCCTTTTGGGGAAAGAGATGGTGCAAATGAAAGAGAAACTATTCAGTGTATGCCATTCCATAAACTTCTGGCAAACATTCAATTGGAGGTGGGATTCTACTTTGGGGGGAGAACGGAAATTATCTGGTGTTTGCAAGGTCCAGATTTCATCACTCACTCATATGCAGTTTGTGTTCATGGACTAATCATTCTGCCTCCAAGAGTGGCCAGCCAGGTCTTTCTAATTTGGGCGTGGGAACAGCTGTGTTTCCCAGCTGCTTGTTCCCAGCTTCATTTATTTAGAGATATATTGCTTTTGGACATGGAAGTTCCATTTAGTTTTCTTAGCTAATAGGTGGTGGGAGTTTCCAGAATCATTCTTTGATGACCTTTTGCTGGACAAGAACTTCCATCATACCAAGCCAGGATGATGACTTACCATGGGATGATGGGAAGAGCTGTTCACCATATCTTTGAGCATCGTCAGGTTGTAGATGTGGTATAAACATGGCCAGATGGCATAGGAAGGAGATGTGAACGGGTAATCATGCATAACCCTGAGAGTGTGTGTGTGTAGGGAGGGTTGACATTGCAATAGCCCGCCCCCCCCTTTGAGGGCAATGAAACTGAGTCTCTCTCAGCTGGAATGGGATTTTATATGTCACTACTGAGATGGGTAGCTCTATAAATGTGATAATAAATAAATACATATACACATGCAAAAAAGGTGGTGATTTTCTAGGAGTGATAACTCAAATAAGAATTTCTTTTTCCTATATAGAAGTTAGCAGCTTTAATTAAAAGTATTGCATGTCCCTAGCTGACTAAGGGAAAGCAAGGTGAGAACAGCAACATATAAATCCATAGTTTTAGGATTTATCTGCCTAGTGAGAAACTTGCCTCGGGGAGGAGATAAGCAGAACCTGTAAGGAAGTAAGTCTGGCAGGTATAATAATCAGCCCAGGACTTGCTGAGATCTACTTTTGAACTTCAAGCAGCTGCATACATGAGAAGCCTGCATGATGCTACTTTCCTAGCCATTAATGCAGGAAATGAAGCCTTCGACAATACAATGCAGGAAATGCTTTCTAATGATTATGGAAGTAGCTGTGAGTCAGCCTTGGATTATGGCATACAGTGAAGGCTCCTCAGAGGATTCCAGCCAGCCAGCAGAGGAAATGTCCAATGATCTCTGGCTTAGATAAGGTAGAATGGCATCTGGTTGGGGTTTTGGATTTTCTTCTTCCTCTTCTCCTCCTCCTCCTCCTCCTCCTTTTTTTGCCTGTCTGATTCAGCTTCCTTTTTCCTGCTTTTGGTGCACCTTCTCCTCCTTTCTAACCTTTACTCTCATTCTTCTAATGTGCCAGTTAGGTACAATCCACATGTCACCCAGACTTTGATAATATGCAGTTTTTCTTTACTTCACCCTTCCTCACCAGGCACTCTCCAGATGTGTTGGAACCACAACTCCCAGAATTCTCAGTCCTTGCTAATGTTGGCTGGGAAATTGAGAGAACTGAGAGTGCCAAATCAGGGAAAGCTGCTGTATTTAGCATCATCAGGATGAGTGGGACTACAGATGCCATAACTTCCACCATGGAAGTGGTGATGAGAAGAACTGCATGAACAGCACTAGGTGGGGAGAGTGCTGACCCTACAATTCAGAGAGTCCCTGATTCAAAGGTCATCTCTACCATGAGCTTATATCAGTGGCAATATGAGGACATCCTTTGGGACCTGTATGAAAAGATTGATTGTCCTTGCCTATTAAGAAAAGCAATCCCTACTGATGACTCTGATTCACCTCTTTTGCTTAACCATAGCTATAATGTTAAGACCACATACCTGGCAATAAATCCCACTGAATTTATTTTATAGATAAAATTATAAATGTTATACATTTACATAATTTATGAAAAGGATTGCACTAGAAAAAGGTCATAACCTTTGAGTTCCAGATGGTTACTAAGTAATCTGTTTTGATTTGATGTTTTGTCTTTCCAGATCCATGCCTTCATGAGCAGTTTTACTAAAGACTGCTCAAACAAGGGGGATCTTCTAGTGATGCGGTTTCTGTCTGTTAATTCCATTGTGAACCCCTGGGCATTTGTCATCCTGAGACCTCCCATCCTCCGGCTGGTGCGATCCATACTGTGCTGTCAGATATCCTTAAAATCACAGCCGAAGAGTAGGCAGAGTTTGTCTCTTGCCAAACCAGTGCCCGTGGAACAGATGGACAATTGCAGGCAATAGAACATGGATTCAGAGAAGGCATTCAGGTGCCCATTTCTAATGGCTCCTCAGGGAAAATACAGAACGACTGGAACTGTAGCATGAACTCACCTCCTGGAGTCACCACTCAGTTACAGCCTCCATGATTCTGAGCTGTGTTCTTGTTCATCAGAGGGAAACCTGAGAGGAATCTCCAAATTCACCCAATCCTAAATATTCCCAATCTGACTGCAAGACGACAACAATGGGGTCAAGAAGTAGATTGGAAGGAGCTGTCTTCTGCCAATCTGGTCAATGGTTTATCTTGCTCCATCTTGTTGCAGTGTTTAAGGAAGCTCATAATATTTCAGGTTGGAAACTTTCCCAGATCCACCTGCAGGGTGTCCACAGGAGTGGCAAAGAAAGTCAAGATGGTATCTGTGATGGTTTGATAGCAGCTCCATCTTTTTTTTATGAGCATCACATCTGCAGAGCTTCTGACGCATCGTTACAGCCACCATCTTGACTTATTTGACCATAACCCATGGGCATCCCTTCCCCTTTCTCTCCAGGAGAGGTGCAACTTCTCCTGGAGAGAAAGAGAACTAAGGATGCACACCGTGCACAACCTGAAGCCCCAGGGCCACATGGGACCCCAGAAAACCTTGGATGCAAAGTTGCCACTGAACTGTACTTTTTACCCCTACTGAAGAGGGAAACAAACTAAATACTTAACTTATTAATTAAGCAACTTATTTAATTTATTCTTAAGTGCATATAGTTGAAATAAAATAATGAAACTTTTTTCTTCTGACCCAGCCTATTTTTTGGGGAAATGCTCTGTGCTGTACCATGTATAGGCCAAGGCTGGCCTTTGGCATGAAAAGCTATGCCCCTTGTCATACATGTTTGATAACACTTAGATTTTTTTTTTTGTTTGTTTGGTCAAGTAAACCTTGGGCTACACTAGGCTGCAGAAATCCAGAGGCATACCAGGTGGAACAAATGAAGTTTTCTGTATTTCTCTGCTATCTGGTAGCTTTTTGGATCTTTTCATCCCAGATATGACAGGCCTTGGGTGTCTGCACAGGGTGATCATAAAGTGAAGATGACAGCGAAGCTCCACCTGTGTTTTATATCACGGACGTCATCTTGACTTTTTGGCCATACCCTGCAGAGATCCCTGGTAGCCCTGGCAAAGTTTTCCTGGTATTCCTTTCATCTTCACATTTCTGTTATATCTCCCTGTATGTAAACAGTTCAAAAATGAAGCCCACTAAATTCAGTGGGATTTATTGCCAAGTATGTGGGCTTAGCATTAGAGCCACAGTTAAATGATGTGATTCAGAAAACTCAGTCAGGTCTGTTTTTCTTAATAGGGAAAGACAAGTTATCCTAGGTCATTAAGCCACTGTTGTGGGTTTATGTGTGTTTTGCCCAGAGTATACATAAGCCACCTGCATATCAAATCAAATATAAACTAACATAGAAAAATTTACTCCATAAAGGATTGATGACATTAATGAAATCATAGTCAAACAAACCATCACTAAGTGCAGTGTGGAAACCCAATCAGAGTTTTTGTGGCACATAAAAACTGACACATTTATTATAGCGTAAGCATTTTATGGACTACAGGCCACCTCATCAGATGTATGAAGTATTATATCAAGCTACAAGTACATATAAACTCCTAGTTGAGAGGGGAGAAATGCAAATGGCAAGGCTAATGGAAATGAAATCATACAGATACTGTTAGTGATAGTTACTTATTGGTATTGGATATTTGCAAACAGCTGCATAGAGACATACGTGCATTGGTGAGTTAATTAACACAAATAGTGTTTATTAACTTATCAATTAATAAGTTAATTGGTGAGTTAATAAACCAATTTGTGTTTATTGGTGGTGGGCTTTTTTTAAATCAACTCTGCTTTATTCAAGTCACAGAACATGGAATGAGCCATATACAGTATGTGAAAGTAACCATTATGTGAGGTAATGGGATAACATTTTTTTAATAAAAAGTTGTCTGCGCAATTCTAATTGTGCCTCAGTTCTGATCTGTAGAACATCTGAGTCAGTTTTATATACTTCTTTGGAGGAGTGGAATGTTTAATAGAACAATCATAAAGTCCAGTGTTCTAGCAAAGCGACCACAACAATCACTGTGTTGTTTTACTTTCTTGGATTCAGAAAAATCAATGGGAAGCCATTACAGTAATCTAGGCCACTGCAGCAGCTGATCTAAATCTTTCTCTGCATCAGGGTACATCAGTAGATGTTGGATTCCATTTTGGGGCATTTTAAAGTCATAAAGGCTGGCGGGATGCCAAATCAAGTCTCCTTCAAATCAAGTTTGATGCCTGGTGACTTCATGGACCCGTCCATGTAATTTTCTTGGAAACAGTCTGGAACTGGTTTGCCATTGCCATCTTCTGAATTATTTTTCACTTCCCACTTTAGCCTATGGCCCTAATGTTCACCATAGATCTCCTAGGCAAGCCTTAATCACACTTGATCCAGCTTTGAATAATAGCAACAAACAGGTTAAATCAGAAAAGTTAAATAAAAATCAGGATAGTCCGCACTTACAGACTGCAATTGGGACTGGCAACTCCATCACTAAGCAGTACAGTTGTTACGTGAAATGTCACGTAACCACATTGACTTATGACATCAGTTCCAGCTATGGTCATTAAACGAATCACCACAGGTCGTTAAGCGTTACATCACATGACCACAACTTGTGACTTCCTGATGGCTTCTCCATTTGCTTGTGGGAAGCTGTCTATGAAGGTCACAAATGGTGATCACATGACTGTGGGATGCTGCGACCATGGTAAATGTATGCCAGTTGCCAAGCACCCAAATTGTGATCACATGTCCATGGGGATGCTGCAATGGTCACAACTTTGGGAACTGGTCATAAGTCTCCTCCTTCAGCACCGTTGTAACTTCGAGTGGTCAGTAAGCGAGGACTACCTGTATTCCAACATTTAGTCTATGCCTTTCACTACTGTACAACACAGCATAATTGATACTAACTCATGTTTGTTGCTTATTTTTAATAAACCTAATGTTCAGTTTCTTCCTTTGAAGATAGAGTACTACCTCCAATTCCTTTCTGTAATGACTCCATTAGCTGGACTGACATTACTATTCCTGTTAGGCTCCTGCATTTGAAAATGCTTCAGGAGTACTTCAGACCTCACTTGAGTACAACACCACTTAGCTATTCATTAAAGCAGGCCCTCTTTTGTCAGATTTCTCTGCCAGCCTGAGAAAGTTGTGGCTGTTTTAAGCAGCTCTTAAAGGAGCTGCATTTTTGCCAGGCTCTTGTCACAGTCTGAAAAAAGAGAGGCTGCTGTATTGAATGGTAGAGAGGGGCTATGTTTGCATAAGTCCAAAGCACTTCAAAATTGTTTTTTAAAGGTCCAGAGTTCTAACTCTAGAAAAGTGCCTGAAAGATGAGCCCAGAAGATTAGCATCTCTAAGGGCACTAATCCTACAATCCTAGACTGAAAAGTTACTTCTAGGTTGATTTGTTTGGCTTTGTTTAGTGAGTTCATGGGAGTTAGGAGATTCTGATTTAAATGTGTACCTGATATCTCTTGCTATAAAATAATACTAATATATCTTCCCTACTAAATGGAAAAACAAAACTCAAAAGAGCATCCATTTTTTTCTCATTGAAAAGGGAACTAGATTTTCCTTCTCAACAAATGTGGAGAAACAAGATGCTTTTTTAAAATAAAAACTGTTTATAAACTGTTAGTGTTTATCAAACATTAGCATCATTCTGTTAGAATGTAAAGGCTAAATGGTTAAACACAGCATTTCCCTCAATGAATGGCATATTTCTCAGTTTCAGAAATATAACTAGACTGAAAGTTTAGAACAGCATTTCTCAAACTTGGTGACTTTAAGATGTGTGGACAGCATGGCTGGCTGGGGAATTATGGGAGTTGAAGTCTACACATCTTAAAGTTGCCAAATTTGAGAAACACTCATTTAGAAGGACTCTTGTTATAAAAGAAAACCTCTATTTTGAGGATTCCAAGGGTAGGTTCCTTTTCATAAATTTGAAATAAACTGTACTTAACCAGGAATAAGGCCTTCTGAACTCATTTGAAATTATTTGTGAGAAAATGTATATAGGCTTTAGCTGCACTATGCCCAAATGTAGCTTTGGAAACCACTTATCAAGCAGCTTGAAATTTACAACGCAGTATGTAAACATTAACAGTTGTATACTTTGACTACAGTTAATTTCCTTGCAGTATGTGACTCCTTGAAAATCAAGTAATTAATCCACCGCAGTTTGCAATAAGCCTTGATGGCAAAACACTTGACTCTCTTCCAAAATCCACAGGATGTATGTTGGCCTTTGAAATATAGGTGGGAGGAAAAAGTGGCAAATTGTGCAATCAGTGAAGTAGCATCCTGGTTTGAACATGAAGCCCTGTTTACATGTACTGGCTTGCATATTTATTTTTCAGCTACAGAAATATTCCCTCTATATATGACCCTCCCCCGCAAGTGTAAAGAAAGAAAAGCTCTGGATCAGAAGAAACTTATTTTTATCAGTCTTCCACAGTCTCAGAACCTGCAGTGGCATGTGGGAATGACCTTGGGAGACAGGGGAAAGAGCTGTAGCCAGGGAAATGGTCAGATAAGAGGCAGCTTAACCCGCAAAAGGAACAGGGGCATGGCAAATGTCTCAGAAGGGACCTTCCTTAGATTCTTGGGCTGTAAAGGCAACAGGGGAGAAATGTACTTTCAGACTTGCAAGATTCTGTTAATGTAACCTTACAATAAAGTAGAATTAATTAATATGGGTGTGCTTCTTGTCTGGACTACCTCGCAAGGCTGACAGAACCTTCCAGATATTAGGACCAACTCCCAGCCAATACAGCCAGTGCTAGGAATTCTGGGAGTTAAAATTTACATGTGGAAGGTACCTACATTAGGAAAGACTTACTAATAGACCCCAGTAGTGCTCCCACTGATAAGGAGAGGAAAAGGAATTGCACTCCTACTAACTGTCACTAGCTGAGAGCTTTTGAGGTGTTGCTCTCCCAGCAGCTCCAGACACCATAGCTAGATTTTGGGAATTCTAGTCTGGCAACATCTGGAGTTCATCAGGGCTACACGAAGGATGTGTCAATGAGCTTGTGATTTAGTTAAGGGTCCTTCTGTCCTCCTACATGCAATATTTTATCACTTGCAAAAATATGATGAAAAGCGTGACAGAATGGAGCAGGTAAACATAGTCTGCCATCCTGACATGTAATCTCCATGCCATGTAAGCTATGCCTGGAGGTGATAAGCTGGGAACATAGTGGGGAGTAAAATAGAGTTTCTCATGCTGGGGGAGAGGAAGTTGAAGTGGGTGAAAGATCAGGCAGGAACAGAGTGCTGTTAGAATTGGAGAGAGACGGAGAAGATGATAGCTAATAAGCAAAGTGGCTGCTGATGAATGGCAGGTTCCAGGGTGGATCAGAGACCACTGAAGACTCCTGAGTGATGGAAGATCATTAAAGATGAAGGAGATAGCATAGTATGGTATCATGTCTACCCAGCACAGAAATCCAGAGAGGGAGAAAAGGACCTGTAGATCAAAGTTTTGGTAGCTGCAAGAGGTTGCCAGCTAAGTCTAACAAAAACCTTTAATTAACTCTAAGGGGAGTTTAGTACAGCTACATACATTAAAATAGCTTAGATATACTGATTTTCAGAAGAAGCATTACTCTGCAGGCAGGGAAATAGTTAATCTCAGACTGGCAGAGCAATTAGAGTCATAAAGTGATGTAGTGCTTTTACTGCATTCCAACGTTTTTTAATGGCAGTTACACCAGGGGAAGACGATCTATTTATGTGCTTCAGCTGCAAGCCACTTACAAAGCTATCTAGCTATAAAAGTCAAGCTGTCAGAGAAAGCAATGTTTTTCTATCTTGCAATGTTACAAATAAAAGAAAAATTTGAAATGATTCACAGGAAGGTTCTTGTGTGCTGTGGATTTATCTGGTTGATCTTGAGAATCCCTATACCCTCCCACTCCAACAACAACAAAAACCAACAGCAACTACATGTAACTGGATGAAAGGAAATTTACATTGCCTCCATCAGCCATAATGCTGATCAAAACATATGTATATCATGCCTCATAAAGCATGCTATCCATGAATATAGCACTATTAAAAATAATCTCCTTTATACAGATTTATTTTATGCTCCATCTAACCTACTTGGCTGGCCCCACTCAACTGGTCAACTTTGGACCAAGTTGGCTCATCTCTGAATTATAATGACCCTTTCCTTCTTTTCATCTTCTCTTTTTATTGTTTCCTCTGTAAAGCAGCTGCTACCTTTATGCATCCTTTTATAAATATTCTCCATGGGCATTTCCAGTAATTTAAACCTAGTTCCTGTTGAAGACATTTATCCTTTTTGTTTCTAGAATTGGTTTGCAATAAGTGTGGTAGCAGTTATGATCAAGGATGGTCTATGAGAGCATGTAGCATAAGGAAAGGAAATATGTGACTCTTGACATACATCCCAGTGAAAGAAGAAAAAAAGAAAAGGACTAAGACCTTAAGGCAATTTTGAAGCCGACGGAGTTTTCGGGTTTTGCACAGGTTCTTCTCCTTTTTAACAGCAGTCTGCAGAAATTACATACAATGAAATGTGGAAAGCTGCAATCCCAAAGGAAAACCTGACCAACGTTTAAACAGAAACACAAAATGCACAACTAGTAAAAGTGGTAAAGTATTTACACAACACACTTAACCCAATCAATCACTAATCCAGTCAGAACTTCTTATCAGCAGCTCACATAGCACACAGCCTGGATCAAATGCCACTCTTGTGGACATTCACAGACCTTCTCTACTTTCTCCAGGTACCTAATACCCCATGAGTCCATGAACCAGAAGGGCCCTAGCAAGGCTTCATTACATCACAAGTCCTCTCCCCACTGGCCAGTCAGCCAGGCAGTAGTAAGTACTGAAGGGAAAGTGAGGCAGGCAGGAAAGGAAAACGGGTAGTTCTTAAACTACTGAAATCTTCAATTCTCTCTTTGCTGTCACTCTCCCACACAGCACCCCCCTCCCTCCCACAACTCCCACCCCCCAACTTCTGCTTTGCCAAGACTTTCCCAGCATTACCCTTCTCCTGAGAGAGAATGACAAGTTGCAGAGGTAATGCTGAAAACCATCCTTTTCCCCCATTTAAGCAATTCAAAATGTGATGATAGATAGATAGATAGATAGATAGATAGATAGATAGATAGAT